CCACCTGTGAGAATGCCCCGGTTCTCTTCCCTTAGCATAATCACTCCCCGAATTGGGCGTGAGACTTTGGGGAATCCGCATGACTTTATCACATGTGTGAAACAAAGTACCGTACGTGTGTGTGCGAGGGTTCGAAAATAGATTACCATTTATCAATTGTTTACACCTCATCAAAATCGAATAATTATTTAGAGGATTTACATAACAATACAATGCTCGATTCCAGATCTAATTAATTACCTAATATAATGCGCTTACCTTAGGGGTGTATATTCCGGTCAATAATATTCCGCAATTCTAGAAAAATAGATGTCAACATAAAACTTTCAAAAGGTATCACGGGCGCGTCTCCCTTTTGTTCTCGAAACACACCGACAAAGAACAATCGGATTTCTGGAAGGAATTCTTTTCAACGCCGAAACACCAACCATTGTTGTCAATATCATTGTCGATTTTCTTGAATCCTACCGCCAAATCTTCCTGAAATGCGACATTACAAGACATGTCTGACAAACATTTAATCATTCCTCTCATGCTTCGTGCATCCAATCGACCTCTTGGTCATATTCGAAAAACAATTTCGTCATTTATCTGCTTATCTAGGGATATTTGTGTGACCATTGACGGGCATGCATTGAGATAAGGAATAGATGTACGTACAGTACATGGGGAACACATAAAGAAGTCATTGGTGAAAAGCGAAATTAGGAGGGTGGATGGTCAACAAGGCTTACAAAGAATTCTTGGGCATTCTAAAACTTCAATTAATGTCTCCCTGAACTAGAAAATCGACGCAAATTAAAAATTCATCTACCGTATGAATACACTGTACATACGCTACGCACTGCACTTCAATTAAATAAAGCACTTTGTGAAAAGTTGACGGAACACTTTATTACGATCATTATTAATTATTATTATTGCTGTTGTTGTACTTGAAAGAATTATCTATCAACTTAGAAACTTAAATTTTTCTTAATCCTTGATTTTACGGTACTTATTACATAAATTATTATCTTAGATTCTAAGGTGTTACATAATGCTTTGCCAATGATTTTTAGAATCGATTTTGCCCGCCAAAAAATAATGTTTGATTGTTCATTAGAGTCAGTCTAGTGATGTGATTTTTCTAATCGGAAAACTAATAATACAATATTGACTACGATGATAATAGGAAAAAAAGAAAAGAAAAAAAAAAATAATTTTGTTTTGAACCGACGGCTTGACTTTTGCAACAAGGAAACTATGGTGATTATGTACAGTATGTTAACGAGCCGAAAGGTCCCCCATAGTTTTGAAGACCTCTATCTGCGTATATTAAAGTGTTAGATGAGGATAAATTCGTGTAAGCGTGATCATTGTCGTAAGCATTAAATGCGAACTCGGGAGGACTTAAAGGTACGACGGGGAAATTTGTGCTATCCGTGTTAAGAGTCTCCGGGGAAGTCGCGTAATGTATATAAGGATTTTGAGTTTGTGCGCTGGATGCACTCACCAGCGTTTGAGAAATAAAACAATTATTATGCGGTCCAAACTGCGAGTCAAATCCATTGTTTAACCCGCAATTCGAGGGTGAATTTACATTTGGCGTATACGGCGGAGTCGTGATAGGATGATCATGACTGAGAAATGAGTTCACATAGATTTCATTTGAAAAATCGGTAGTGCTCGTGGCATCCGCATAATCCGTGTTCGCAAAGTTGGACGTGCTTACGACGTCCGCGTAGTTCGTGTTCGTGAAGTTGGCAGTGCTTGCGGCATCTGTGTAGTCCGAATTTGTGAAGCTGGCAGTGCTTTCGGCGTCTGTGTAATCCGTGTTCGTGAAGCTGGCGGTGTTGGCCTCATCTACATAACTTTCGTTTATAATGGTGGCAGCGCTTGCAACGTTCACGCAGTTTTCGTCTAGAATGGTGA